ATCTTTCAACGATTGGACCCACATAGAATTTGCTGTGTGCACCCTTCAACGAGTCATATACCCAAACAGTCGCATTGGGGAAATCAAGCTCTGCTAAAACCCAATGCCGGTTTCTAGCATGGATAGTCATGAAGACCTACATAGAGATATTCAATCACGTAACACGTAAGTAAAGAGCAGTTCTTAAGCCTGGCACTTCATGGCTGTGTTATTCAGTTCCGTAAGAATTGCACCGACAGTTCTTATTAAGAAATTACCTTTTCCATTTGGGTCCATTCCAACTTTTGGGTAGTAATTGAATGACATAAATGTATAAACAATATCACATTGAGTGCAAAGAAATCATAGGTCAATGAATATACTAACAAGACCACATACTCAAATGGGTAGAAAACGGACCATGTAGGTGTGAAGCTGCTCTATAGCTTTGCCCGACATCCACTCAAATGATTATTTAAGAGAATATTACAGTAAATTGTAAACTATATTTAAGAGAAAATATTTGCCCACGCATCCACTCAAGATATATTTTGAAAAAAAAATTGCAGTAAACTTAAGAGAAAATATAAAATTGCAGTAAACTTAAGAGAATATTACAGTAGCTTTGCATTTAGGGTTTCTAAACAATTTTTGGGAAAAGAGGTGTAATTGCAAAAGGAGGAGCAATTACCTTATTGGCGGAGCACCGGAGGCAGGGAGGAGGCGTGTGTAGAGGCAAGGAGGACACAGACCAGGGGACAGAGAGCACCGACAGAGATGGATTGCTGTGAATGACAATCGGAAGATGAGGAGGACACAGACCAAGGGGCAGAGGTGAGGAGAACACAGACCACGACGGCAGAGACGAAGGTAGGTGTGAGGAAGACAGAGACCACCGGCGGCAAAGACGTCGAGAAAATTCTAACTGGGAAAAAAACACCAAGGAGACAGCCAAAGTTGAGAGCAGAGAGAATTTGGTGGGAGATTACTTGCAAGTGTGGGGTGGGGGTTGCTTGCACGTGTAGGGTGGGGAGGTCTTTTATATTGGGGTACAAATTGGGGTAACTTTGGGGTGTAAGTAGCATTATCCATTGACAAAACATTCTTATAATCCTATTCTCTGCCCTTTATAGTTGATGTCTTGGTGACTTAGGCCTCGTTCTGTTCAACTTATTTTTTCTATTTTTTTCTTATTTTTATTAAAATTAGATCAGATCTAATTGGATCAAATCAGAACAGATCCTATCAAATCAAACAAGACCAGATCAGATCTAATCAGATCAGATCAAAATAATCAAATCCAATCAGACTAGACCAGACTAGATCAGATCCAATCAAGAATTATTATTATTATTATTATTGTTGTTGTTGTTATTATTATATTACATTATAATATGAATGATTATTCTAGAGTTATTACATTATAAAATATGAATGAAAAAATATTATTATATTATATTATTACATCATAATATGAATGCTTATTCTAATATATGAATTAACTAATTTTATTTCATTAAAAAAATTATCATAAACTAAAAAATATGGATTATATTATAATATGAATTATCATTATAATTTTCAAAAGTTATTATAAAGTCAGATCAAATTATTGATTTGAATTTTAAATCAAATCATAATCAATAAACTCAGATCAGATCAAATCAGATTCAATCAGATCATATCGGATCCAATCAGATCAAATCAGACTCAGTCAGATCAGATCATATGAGACTGGATCCAATCAGATCAGATTAGAACTACAAAAAATCAGATCAAATCAAAAAAAAGAAGTTGAACGGAACGTAGCCTTAGCCTTAATTTACCCAACATGACCAAGTTGAACTTCCTAATTTTTTAAATTTAGTCCCCCTTAAGAATTTATAATTACTGCCTCTTTCAACTCATCCAATGAATACTTCAAGATGCATGTGTATCCTTACTCCACGGAAACTTGGCTTTCATCCTTTCTGATGAGGTTATTTGCCTCCCAACTATGAATGGTTTTAATTAAAAGGCTCATTTTGGAGGATAAGTCTTCAAGCTCATTTTGTCCATATTTGAGGGTAAAATAAGGAGAAAAGTGCACCATTTACCCCTTAACACTTTGGAAATTGCATAGTTACCCCTGAACATTAAAAAGTGCACCAAATACCCATGAATTCTTCAAATATTGCATGATTTACCCTGAACATTAAAAGGTGCACCAAATACCCATGAATTTTTTGGAAATTGCACAATTTACCCATGTACATTTAAAAAAATATGATAACTTTAGAGAAGGGAACTTTGGAGAATTCACAAGGGCAATATGAATCAAACTCGCAATTCCCATGCGTGGGAGCAACTTAACGCACTCCTTATCTAGTATTTTATGACCAACAGTGCAATGTTTTAAATTATTCAGGAGTATTTGGTGTACTTTTTAATGTTCAAGGTTAAATTAGGCAATTTTCGAAGAGTCCGAGGGTAAACGGTGCACTTTTTAATGTTCAGGGGCAAACCATGCAGTTTCCAAAGAGTTCGGGGGGTAAACGATGCACTTTTATGAAATAATAAGATAGTCATCCTTGAGAGTACTTTGTATCATTCACACGCACAAAACAACAGAGAAGAGGAATTAACCGCTGCTTCAATTGCGAAAACGCAGATCAGGGTTTTTCCTTCGATTAGAGGCCCATATCTTGTTCGATCGAGCTAAAATTTGAAGAGCCAGAGCACTTTTGAAGCTTCAATCTAAACAGTGGAGATCAAATTCCAATGATTAGATCTTGAGTTACGAGCTTCGGATTAGATTGTTGTTTTTGTTGATGTTCTTGCATCTTCGTGTCTCTGTTTTGAATTTAGTGCCTTCGTAGTGTTGTTAAGGGCTAGATATAATTGTGGTTTTGTTGTATTTTGTATTTTTACTCTTAATTTGGTGCTAGTGGAGTTAGTTAGACCTAAGAGTCTTGTGGTTTTTACTCTTTCACGTTGATAGGGGTTTTCCATATTAATATATTGTGCCTCATAATATTTTCTTTCGTCTTCAATCATCTTATTGCATGAAGTTGTTCTTTGGAGTATCTTTTTGTTGCTCCTCACATGTTATTTCAAGAGGGAAAAGTGGTTATCTTGAACACAACACTTATTTGTGTTTTTCTTTTCCCCACAATTGATAGCAAAGTCGGAGTTATCTAAAATTTTTCTTGATTAAATGAAGGAGCCAAACTACAATAAGATGATCAGTTTGAATGGCAAAAACAGTCACAAATGGAAGGGTAAAATGAAATATCTAACTTTGTGAAAAAAAAAGCTGCATTTATCGGTGTTTGCTACTTAGAAGCTAAAGTTGAAAAGTGATGAAGAGTGGCATTTTGAACATGAAACAATTTGTGATTCTATTTGATAGTGGGTGGATGAGAATGTTTTGAATCATATTTATAATGAATGCCATGCTAAAACTTTGTGGGAAAAGCTTAAATCCTTGGCATCCATTTAAATAACTATTTATCCGTGTATTTGATCCGTTATATATAGTTTTTCCTAATTTTTTATTTTCATATTATGTTTCTCTATTGATATCTCAAAGTATAAGACATTTTTATATACAAAATATATGTGTAGACACATAAAAATATGTATATATATACAATGTATATCTTTTTATGATATGAAGTCATCGTAAAATATCATAAACTATAAAAAATAAGAAAATAGTTATCCCATAAAAATTATAGCTGATTTAATAATATTTTGATTTAGTTTAATTGAAAATTAAAATATTCTTTATTTTGTTTTAAAAATTGGAAACGGATACAGATATATCTTATATCCGACCGATATCCGACGTATGTTGATACGGTTTTGATTTTCAGTATCCGTCAAGATCCGTATCCTGGCGGGTGATCATACTCTTTGAAGTTGGACTCTTTAAAAAATTAAATTTTTGTTTGCTTTCCTCCTCATTTTTCCTATTTTCCTTTTCCTCTTCTTCTTCTCTTTCCTCCTCTCCCTTCATTCTTGCTTTCTCTTCTCTTCTTCTCCTTTCTCTTATTTCTCTTTCCTCTTCTGCTTGCTCTTCTTCTTCCACTCTTCTTTGACTTCTTCTCTCATCTCTCCTCTTCTTCTTCTCTATCTTCTGCATTTGATAATGTCAGTGGAATGTTGGTCGGGTTGGTATTGGAGATTGGACTTGTTTTGCGCCTTCGTTTGGTCCATGGTATTGTTCCTAGATGGCTTGCATAATCCATTATGACTCTATTTCACTTGGGCACTGTGTGCCTTGAGTACCTTAGAGTTCCCGGTGTGTCTTGGCTCTTGGTCTGGACTATCTAAACCTTGGGCTTCATTCTATGGTGCTGCTTGGTTTTTGGCTCTTAGTGGCGCGACTTTGGTTTTGGCCCCATGCCTTTGAAGTTTGGCCTAGCATGACTTGGGGCTTTGTCGTTGGGACTGGTTGTATGATTCTGGTTACAGTGGCTCGGTTTTTTATTTAAGTTCCAATGGAGGGTTTTTTGGTCCTAGGCTTATGTGAATTGGGTTTGAATTCTGACGTATGTTTCTCATATGCGTGCCTCTGGAGCTACGACCTACATGCCGTATAACTCGTCTTTAGGCTTGCATGACTCTTTTGTTAGTGGGAATTAGCTTGGTAACCCATGTGCAATTAACCTCTGTCTCGGATATGCAGGATTGCTTTTGTTTGTTTTTCTGCTTAATTTTTTTTGTCATGCATGATTTTTGTTCTGGCATGCCTGCCAGCTATCTTTGTTGACCTGCGTGTCTGTCTTCTACTATGTACTTTGTGTTTATGTTCCTGTGTAATTGTGTTTTGGATTCGAACTCTGGCCTGCGTACTAGGATTTTGCTCTTTGCCCCGTGTGCCGTTTGACTTAGGTTCGCGTTTCAACTCCTTTAAACGTTATTATTGACTCGATTATGCCCGTTTTATTCTTGTATTCTTTTACTTGATTTAAATAATATTTTCATATCACCCAATGTCGAAATAACTAAATATTATCTACAGTTTACAGCGTGGTATACAAAAAAAAGAATAAAGCTATTTGTACCCCAAATTTTTGTACCCCATTTGTACACCGCAGGTTTGCACCGACATTTTGTGTTGCTGTAAAACTAATTTTTGTTAACGCGCCAACACTTTCTGTCCGTGTAAATTTTTGTTAACGCACCAACACTTGTGTCGGTGTAAACAATCAAAATATTTGTGTATAACTGCGATGTAGAAATGGGGTACAATTTTTGGTATAAGTATAGCATGGTCCCAAAAAAATGTTTTTTCCTTCTTGATTGGCATCCTGCATCTACCAATTCAGGGTGGGAGCTTGCCTGGGCACGAGAGAGGTCTTACAGCATAAGGTCGTTCTAGTCCTACCCTTCTACGACTCCACCACCTTTCTCAATAATAACAACAACCCAACATCACGGCTTTGATGGCGGTTCATTGCCATCTGAATATTGCTCCCTACCTCAATCCCCGCCGTACCCGGGCAACTTCTCCTCTCTCCTGCGCACATTATCGCCCACTCTTCCGCTCACCGAATCTTCGCTTCTCTCCCAAGCTCCAGCTCAAGGTAACGCTCGACCATTATAGATATACGCACTCATAGGGGCACAACCATTTCGCTTCTGCAATTTGAATTGATTCCATTGCTCACATGTGTTAGACTGAGATTCTCTGTCAGGACTGTGGGGGGAGAAGGGGCGGCATCGCCCTGAAGTGTGAAGCAATGACGGAAAAGCGATCCATGTCTGAAGATCGAATGCTGGTGAGTAAATTTAGCCTGTCGAGGTGATCCGTTGGGATAATTAGTATTGATGTGACCTGAATGATACCGACTTTGTTTTCTGCACTAGGTCATTGTTCCGCAGCATCCTTTGATAAAGCACTGGATTTCTGTTCTCCGGAATGAGCAGACGCCCTGCCCAATTTTCAGTACGTGAACCTTATGCTTTATCAACTGAATTCCAACCTTTCCTCGATTTTGAATGGATTTTTCTTTCTAGGTTTGAAGCTGAATGTAAAAAATGCCGATTATAGACATGCCTTTGTTCCTAGGTTAATAATACTCAATAATAGATTAGATGCTACATGAGAACTATAGTATATGACAGAGTGCACAGAGTGCAGTGCTGCATTACATTTTGATTTTTGTATCTTCACAACATTTTTATTTTATAGTGTTGCATTATCCTCTCATTTGTTTGATTCAGGCATTATGTAGTACATAAAAAATAATTTTATGTACTATCCCTAAATCTCAACCTCATTGTTGACACTTTTGTATGTGCCTACTCAAAGTGAGCAACATTAATTAGGACATACAATGATACAAAATATGCAAATGCTTTCCCCCCCAAAAAAAATATATGCAAATGCCCCTTGGGATAGTTCACATTTCTTTGCTTTCCAGATACTTCTTGTTTCGTACGGAGTATTCATTAGGAACTAGGAGGTCCTTGGTTTACAAGTATACAACTATGCACTCTATTTCATCTCAGCATGCCTTCTACACACATACTTTCACACACAAACACGTGCATATTTATGTATATATGCATATGCGTGTATATCAATGTTTTTTTCATGCTCTTCACTCTGCTCAATTTACAAATTTGGCATGTTGGTTGCCCTAAATTTCTCATCAAGCAGTGACTTTCCTCCCTTTTCATTACAATGACAGGAAATGCCATGGCTGAGCTAGGGAGATTACTGATGTATGAAGCATCAAGAGATTGGTTGGTGAGTTACATTGGGATGTTGGATGCACTAATGGGTGATAATTTTTTCTAAATATAGTTGCTGAGGATGGAACATATTGAGCAAAAGCCTGACTGTGTTATGATTAACTTTCCTTTTCGTGCTTTTATAGCACATGGCTGTAGAGTCCTACTAGGACATTTCTTGCTTGCAGTGATGATTTGATTACCTTTTACCATCATTTCCAGCCAACCATAACAGGTGAAATTCACACACCGATGGCTATCGCATCAGTTGAGTTCATTGATCCTAGGGAACCAGTTGCGGTTAGTCTTTTGAGTTCATTTCCTGTATTTTATTTGTCTACAAGATATGATCCTGACCTCCTTATACACTACTGGTATTACTCTAATAGTCTAATTTTACCTTCAGTATAGTTTTATGTAATAATCTACCTCCTTATTTCCAGATTGTTCCCATCTTGAGAGCTGGTCTAGCTCTTGCGGAGCATGCATCTTCTATCCTTCCAGCAACAAAAACTTACCATCTGGGTAAGTGAGACAAATTATCCTTGCAGTCTGTGCAACTTTTTCACCCATACGCTAACACAGTAGGTGCTGAATACAATAAGAATCTATAACTTTTTGTATACCCGACAGTTGTAAGATAGTAATAGTAAATATAAAAAATCATAGTAGTAATAATGACAATTATGTAGACAGCGTGAATCTTTTGACACTGGTCCTTGGTGTCATACTAAGATGCGGCGCCATCTGGAGGCCTTGCGGTGCTCTGTTGGGCCCGGAGGGATAGGTTCAGGGGGTGCATGGTAGGGTGGTGGTTGACACTGTTTGTATACAGTACCACACCAGGGGAATCATCATCAGCTGGAGGGGGGAGGACCTGGTTAGGGACCCAATGGAGCACCATAGTGCCCCAAAATGGCATCAGTATCAAAAGAGCCATGGTGTAATATACATAGCAGTAATAATTATCACTGTACAAAATGTTCTTATTTTTATATCTTACACAATTTATTATCATTCGCTTATTCTCAAATGTGTTGTTGGTGACTACTATGTTTTTTGATCTTCATTTCAAATTAAAGGAATAAGCAGGGATGAAGAAACACTTGAACCAACTATATACTTGAACAAGTAAGCGTACTTGAACAACATGTTATTTTTTTGTTTCTCTCATTTTTGATCATGTCCTTCCATTGCATAACATAAGATTACTGTGCTACATTACTTCCTTTGGGTGGCGGCACAACTTGTTGCCCGCTTACCAACCACCTTGATGTAAATCCATCAAATATATTTTATATTTATTACTATTAAAAAAATTGATAATTCATTAATATGCTTGACTATGGGATTTATTAAGTAACCTTTTGGACAACTTTTCTCTGTCTTTCATGTGGATCTGTCAGGCTACCTGACAAATTTCCAGAAGGCTCTCGTGTTTTTCTTGTCGACCCTATGCTGGCTACTGGTAAAAATCAATTTTTTTATGGTCCAAATATTATTTTACATAGTGTGCCTGCACTCCACATACCCGTATGTATTAAATTTGTAAATAATACTTCCTCAGTCACACAAAAAAGTCATGTTTTAAGAACCTTTTTTATTTCTGAAAATGATTAGTTTTAAAGTTATCTTTCAAAGCTTAGTAAAATTCAGGTAAAGGAATGCGGTGTTTTAATCACTCCTGCCAATCTTGGAAATAAGTTTTAGGGGTATACCATATACATTCACAATGTGTAGATTCTTATATCTTGATTGAAATGACTAAAAATAACATGTTGTGCCTTGCTCAAACATAATTTTTTTTGGGACAGAGGTAGAACTGGTTAGCGTAGGATTTGCCATCTTTCAAAGATTTGCCGGACAAATCTATAATCTAAATCTCACATGATAACTGACTAACTGACAGGTTGAGAAGAATTGACTATGATGGTTTACATAAATAGCTTTCTGTTAAAATCAGTTGCATAGCTTAAAGTTTAGGCATGATGCCTAATTTGGTCCCCCAGCATGGGCTCTGTCGTTAAGTCTCTTGAATGAGCAGATGGGGGTTAAAACTGGTGTTTTTCCTTCAAGGGGCTTGGTGTTGAGCACACGCCTTATCCTAGTTTATAACTCACTCAAATTGCATTTCTAAACATATTTTCAGGTGGTACCGTAGTTGCTGCTCTTGATTTGCTAAAGAAACTTGGAGTCGGGAACAAGCAAATTAAACTGGTAAAAATGATCGTTCCTATTCTTTCACACCAGGCTGTGCGAGTGCAAGAGGAAATGTTAGGATCTAGTTTAGATTCTTTTGTTTCCTAGGAGTCCTAGTATCTCAAGGGACCTGTATTACCAAGCAGTTTAAGTGAATTGCTTCTTGTAGATATCTGCCGTTGCTTCCCCTCCAGCTCTTCAAAAGCTCAGCGAGAAGTTCCCTGGGTAAGAGTATCCCATTTTGTTGGAATCTGTTAGAGTAAAGCTTTTAATTGTTGAATCAGGTCCTATTGTTATATTTATTTGTATTTAAATTCTTATTATTACTATTATTTCCTATGTGATCGCCAGACTTCAAGTTTATGCTGGAATTATAGACTCCGAAGTTAATGACAAAGGGTATATCTTGGCTCCCAGCATTCCTTTTAATTTAGACTAATAACAGAAGGTTGGACTGAGTGCTACTATTCACTGCGTGCATCTAAATTTTCAGGTTTATAATCCCGGGACTTGGAGATGCAGGAGACCGTAGTTTTGGTACATAAATCAAGCAGACCCAACCCGTGCTTAATCAATTTACAAATTTGAAAGTCCATGGAAGAGAATATTTGGAGCTTTTCATCCGTGCGGAGACCAAGTTTTACCAAGTGCTTGACTTCAAGTCAAGTGAGTTTTTGATACAACATTTCAAGTCATTTCTCTTTATCATTCATTGTTCTATCATACTTTGCATCTACTGTCGAAGGGGATAGCTTTATTAAGGATTTACCGGCCTAAGATTTCAAGTAGATTGGATTCACCCAAGACTATTGAGTTTTCATAGCTTTTGCGGTGATTTATTTGGACATTACAAGATTTGGTTCTTGAAAAAAATAATAGTTTATATACAGCTTATATATACTATCTTGTTATACAGCCAAATTTTTGTTATTTCGTATACAAGAAAAGATCTTTTTGGTTCTTTTTGTTCATTGCCGATTGTTACTGCAATCTTCTTCCATCTTTTTGTTTCAAATATTCGTTCGTCTCTTCTTCATTACTCTTCTTTTCAGTAACTTTTTCTATTTGCTGCACACTCTTCTTCCATCTTTTTGTTCGATCTTCTTCCTTTTTCTTGTTATTTGATAATCAATATCTTATTTCGGTTAAATTTAGATTTCTTTCTTAAAAGTTAGACTAAATTGTAATACACTTTTACAATTATTTTGAAGGGGAATTTACCTAAATGGTACTAATACATAGTGACTTTCCTGATGTAGTACTATATGTTTTTATTTTTCAATGTAGTATGACTGGTCATTATTCAAGTAAATGTCCACCGTTATTGGACATTATTCAAACAAAATGTCTACCATCACTAGACATTGTTCCCGCTACTAGACATTATTCAAGTACTATTTACGGAATAAAAACGTTTAAGTACTACATTGAGAAATAACTAATATTTTAGTACTATTTAGTGCAAATTGTACTATTAAAATTGACATGCGTTTGATGCTATTGCAATTAGGATGAACAAAGAAAATGATTAGTTGTATAAATGTGATGAGAATTATATATGTATAGAATGTGCATATATATTTTATAGTGTAATTAACATGTGATGAGAATTATATATGTATAGAATGTGCATATATATTTTATAGTGTAATTAACATGTTCTGTTAAATTGGAATTGAAATTCCATGTGATTCAATTCCATAGAATTGAATTCACCAATTTCAATTCATATTTTGCACTATCAATTCCAAATCCACATAATTTTTGTGCTACCAAACATCAGAATTGGAATTGAAGTCCTCAATTCCAATTCCATAGTTTGAATTCAATGTACCAAACGGGGCCTTATTGTTTAAAATGAGCATTGTATTTTTCATAAATTTGAATGTCAGATTCATTGTGCATACATATATTTTAGTGTGAAATTTTGTTTAAATGCTAAAAAGAAATGTGTAAAATGAGAATATGTTATGCATAAATGTAAATTTTGTCTATAAACAAAGCACATTTTGTCTAAATGTGATGGGTATCATGTTCTCAAATGTGTGTACATATACTTTCTTTGTCTAGATTCAATCTTCCATTTGATTTTTTTGCTCAAAGTTTATAAATATTGACTTCGATATGTTGAAAACATATTTTTTGTTTTTATATAAATGTAATATCAAAGTTTCTTTTTGAAACGTAGTTTTGAAATATTAATTTTTTAAAAAACATATTTTTGTAATAAAATCAATATTAATGATCAAAATGTTACCTGTGAAAAGTCAAATGAGAAGATTAAATTTAAACGAAGAGTGTATTTTATAATGCACATGTTTTGAGTAATACGAAAAATAAATAGAGTACTTAATATATGATAATCAGATTCATGAATTTTGGAATTAATAAATCTGCAAATTCTTACACCGTACTAAAAAATTACGGAGTAAAACAAAAATGGAGTACTAATGAACAAAATGAAGGGATTGAACTTCGCTGAGCGTTTCTTCTACACTAACACTCTTGTCTCCAAAAAAGAGAGGAATCAAACCAAACAAACACATTATAACTCAAAACATAGAGTGTATGCAGAGCAACTCTACCCTAGAAATAGTGATGTTATTGAAAAGAACCCGGTAATCCCAAAATAAAATAAAATTATTTTCACCCGAATTTAATTATTTAGAAATCACCCTAAATAAGATTAGAACATTAGAAAAAGTATCAAAATATGAGTTCCACATTTTTATTTACGAAATAAAACTTCACATTGTGGTAATGTGATTATAATGTGACACTGTACATGTGCACATTACTATACTTTTTGAAACTAAAAACATAGAAGTTTTATTTTGATATATTTTCAATATTTTACTCTTACTTTAGTCTTTTTCCCTTAATTATTCGTTTGTTTTTATATGTCTGATTAGTTATATTCAATTACCAAATGGCAATTGATATTGGCACTCCAATATTTACTGGATGCACTCCACTTATTTTTTTCTCTTGAAAATGCCCTTGTGCACAGTATTTTATTCTTCATAATTAGAAAAAATGTATGGAGTATTACTTTATTTTTTAATTAATTATTTAATTATTTATCAAAAAATCTCCGTATCCAAAAACTCTTTATTTTGTTTTCCTCTCCCTCAATACTTTTATCATTTTTTTCAATTGTTTTTTGAAAGAAATTAGCCATTTGTTTCAAGTTCATTTAGTCTCTTTGAATTTACAGAGATTTAAAAAATATATTGAAAATTGTTGAATAGTGACAATGAGTAGTTGGATGTTTTATAAGAAAGAAAAATATTTTAAACTACATTTTATTTTCTAAAAAGAAAGAAAAATGCATGCATTATTTTAGGATGTATTTTAAGTGAGAAAGGTGAGGATTATAGTCTAAAGTGATTCTTTCATCTAACCAAATTCTAACAACTTACATTTCTCTTAACATTTTTTAAAATGTTTTTTAGTAATATATATCAATGAAAGTAAAGTGAAAAAAAAACTAATTTGGAGCCTATGTGTATGAAAAGATTATAAATTGTATGTTGAAGGAAAATATATTACCACTCCACAATTGAAAAAATGTTACAATTCTAATTACTTTTCATTCTACATTTTCCAAAGTTACTTTTGTCACGTTGACTTTGATGAGATTAAGAAAAAGTTTTAAAAAAATTGACAAGTGAAATTTGTGTCATTAAAATTGGTTTTAGATCATATCGTTATTACTTATTATATATACACTATTTCATAAGAGTTTTCTCTTTTTTTTTTTGTTTGTCACCAAAATGATTTTTTTTATTTTTTCAATTTGTTTATACAAAAGAATATGTGGTTTGACATTTTTCTCATTTTTCAAAATAAAATCTAACAACTCTCTTTTGCTATTCAACCTTTTTTATACATCTTTTCAGTGTTTTTTAATTTCTGTAAAATAAGAGAATAAATTAATTTAAGATGGAAAAGCTATTTTTTGTTAACACACAGAATCCATAAAAGTTAGATAATTAAACAAGTAGATAATATAATATTCTTAGGTAAAAACAATGAATTATTATACATGCAAGGGCATTCTAGGAAGAAAGTTTAAATAAGATAAAGATTGAAGCGCATATAGTAATATTTGGAGTGTCAATATCAATTCCCTTACCAAATTAGGACAAATTGTTCAAAATATCCTAGAAAGATATTATAAACATTGTTGACACGAAGACAAGCTCATTTTTTTAAGGGAGAGAGACAAGCCCATTTGAAAGACTTTTTTGTCATTTTAAACTCATTTCATAAAAATGAGATTTTTTTTTAAAAAAAAATGGACAGCTAAATCTATCGGGATAGAGGGAATAATTATTATATGTAAAATTCAGAAAAATGAGTAGGGACGAACAAGGTGAAAAGAAAAAAGAAATAAAATTGCCAAGCTTGGAGCAGATGAACTTTCATCTCAAATGGGCATGTTTTCATTGGATGCATATACAGTAATGGAAGCCTGAAGCTCTCTATCCACCTTGAAGTGCGCATGAAAGAACCTCTTCACCTGTGAACAAAATACAAGCCCCTTTAATTTCTTCGGCTAGACGACGACACAAGTAAATCGTGAAACAGAGAACATGTCTTCATAACCACACACCTCCTTGAAATTATGCAAATCTAAAAATTTCTCCAACAGCTTTTCTTGTGCATCAAACACCACAATGTGGCTAGGTGGAGACCAACTTTTTGCAAACTCGGTTGCAAAACCGACTGGGTCTAACATGAACTGGTCAGACTCATCCAACACTCCTCTCTCTTCACTGGTGGGGAACCAATTTCCAGAAGAAACGATGCGTGATCCATTATACGAGGTACATATAGACAAATGCCAGTAATAAAAAAGAATTCGAAATGTGTAGGTGATCCATACCTAGGCGTACAATCCAAGAAACGCATAGGAATGTTACGGTGAAGGGTTGAGTAGTAAGGCGTTGCATGGCAGGGTGTAAAGAAAAGGATGCTTCTTACTTTTCCCGTAGCTGCTTCCACGGAGAGATGGTTCATGACATCCTCTGTTCCTCTCTAAGAACCATATTGCAAGTAATTCAAAGTGGCAAAATTTCTATAAATTATCACTATTTCTTTGAAAAGTGTTTAGCGTCCAAGGGAAACGTTAAAAATAAAAAAACTAATTTTGCCACTTAAAAAAAGGTCATGTTTCAAAACTATTTTTTGTTCTAGAAAGAATCATACTTTTAACAAGAGAAGCTATTTTTCATTATATTCAATGTACTTTTTCACACAAAAAAAATGTTTCAAACAAGTTAAGTATGTTTACATTTAGTTTAACCAACAAACCATTTTTAGAAATATAGCTATAATCCATGATTTACAGCTGTTGTACCTTACCAATATTAAAAGGTTGTACCTTGCTGAAAGCCTGAAACCTGACCTTTTTCTATGTGGGGACGGATGAAATATACAGAAGCAAGCAGATATGATACCTGATGGACCAAACTCATATACAAAGCCATTGGAAGATTTGTGATGAGCAGGAGGAAGACCAAAACAGACTTTTTTGATAAGCAAGTGTAACGAGTCCTTTTGGGAACTCCTATTCTGGCTAGCGAGTACCCAGAAAACATTAAAGCTATAGGAAGCACAGGGAGGACAAACCTGTCACTCTACACTAATTAGAGAACAGAAAAAGATAAAGTATTAACAAATAAAAACTCTAGGAGGTAGTAGTACCTGAACTCTTTGTGGCCTAACAAGCTATAAACCCCCAAAACCCATGCTATGAGACCAGAAAGTTTCCATTGCTTAGACATGATAGCACCGACAAAAGAAAATGGCAGGAATGTGAAAAGCATCACTGTGAATCCCTGACTGAGGTACCAATGCCACACATGAGTTCCATAATAGTCACCGCCAGAAGATAGAAAATTGAACTTGACAAAATTAAGAGGCACAATGACCCAGGTTCCATACATCCACCGGTCCAACATAAGCGTGACTCCAAGTATCAATGTCCTGATTCCAATATTCCATATATTAAAATTAGGTAAGCCATGTTTTTCAAAGTATACTTCCGTGCATAGTAAAATACCAGATTATAAATAGAAAAAAAACAGAAATGAATCATGAAAGCCTAATTATTGTTTCCAAGTGAACAACTACAAACTTCTGATTTTCTCACGCTTCATTTTGATAGTTTCGAAAAGTGAATAGTGCATACCAAGAACCTAATTATATTGCTAAAGAAGCATGAACTTTTCTTTGCATGGACTCTTTAATCTCTTTTCTTCCCACAGTATAATTGTAGCCCAGTGAATAATGGATATATATTCCAAGATTATAAACACTAAGTTTGAGACATGGGGTGTTGGCACGCAAAATACGAAAAAATGGAATTGTGTTGTTGATATTAAATATGGAGTATGTAAAGTATGAATAAGGTAAGGATGATTAGGCACCACCTGAATATAGAAAATATGGATGGGCCAAAGATTGTGGGTCTGACAAAAAATGGTTAAAAGGACAAAGCTTGTGGGGTATAGGGAGTATTTAGGATCTAGTAGGTTACAAATTATACTAAGGACAAATAATGCTTACCCAATAGGGATCACCTCAAGAAGAATACAAATTATCTTTTCATTGGTGAGGTACAACTCCAGTAGGCCAACATACAACCATGTAATGGCACTTGTTGGCCGAATGGCACAAGCCAATGCAGACACAGCCAAAGCCCACTTTCTTGAACCCAAGGAAGCTGTATTTGGATGTTTCCTAATGCAAGGCCAGTAGTAGAGGCTCACTAGTGTGAGAACTGTCTCCAAACTATTAGATAGAGTTCGCGTGAAAGAGAAAAACATGAACCAATTGGTTAATTGTGCAAAAAGCTGCAACCGAGTTAAGTATGTCATGATTGATTATCATCAATCAGGAACAACAAATCTCTTGGCACAAATATAAACATTATACAGCTAAAGAAAAGCAGCATAGTTATAAAACTCATAAAAACAGCTAGCGAGTTTGAATGCAACTTGTAGCATATACGTAAAGAAGGATACAACCCATTTTGCTACATGGTCATCAAATAACATTTGAGAAATCTTAAACAAGTAAAGATCCCCAACAGCAGAGAAAACAGACTGCAGGAGCCTAGGAGTCCTTATCTGTGGTGAAAGAACACTTTGTGTAAGATGTGTATGTATTCATTCAGCCTAAAATTGCACAAAAAAAAGAAGCTTAACCGGGTATCCATTGAAAAAAAAGCTACAAGGAAACTCTTTGAAACTGATGAGTGGGGTTTCTTGGAAGAGCATAGGTATGAATAAGGTATATGTGAAAGCTAAAAGCCAAGTGACCATAAGGAGCAAACATGCAACTATGAAGGTATACTCTTCTAAATTCAGGCAGCTTTGTTAAAAAATGGGCTATCAATGTCATGAACAATGCATATGCAAAATCTATGAATCAAAGTAGCCATAGAAAAGCAACATGCAGTCATGAAGTAGTATTGCTAATATGAACTACATACTTAACTGGCATGGGTTTGGAATCCAATCAACCCATACAGAACCAGTAGGATGTGAAAAAAGCTGTTACAAAGAAGACAACATCTAAGAATGGGAATACTGCTAACCACTTCTTGATTAGCAAAAGGAATTACCATGAACCAGGGGGTATCAAGCGTTAAAAAACTAAGACCTTTATAGAGAAAAGAAAAAATAGATGGGTGCAAGTAACTCCTTATTCCCCTTTTCCACTCCCACGTCAGATGCCCATATCTGCAAAAAAAAAACAAAATCCACGATTGGCCCTTCAACTTTATGAGTTGTGCACAATTAGTCTTTCAAGTTTCAAAAGTCCATAAATAGTCCTTCAAGTATTCATAAGCCTCCACATGCAGTCCTTCAAGTTTTAAAAGTCCATAAGTAGTCCTTCGAGTATTCATCAACCCTCCAAAAACAGTCTTTTTTATGGTACGCGTTAAAAGATAAACGGATTACTACTTTCATATACTCCCTCCGTCCCCAAATAAAGTTCCTCTTTCATTTTTTCTTTGTCCCTAAATAAACTTCTCTTTTCCCTTAAAAAACCCCTTTTACCCCTTACTTTTTCATACCCTACCTATCACATCTTACTTTAACACATCACATCAAGGGTATTTTTGGAAAGTCAACACCAAAATATCCCTCCCTTAAATCCTCAAAAAGTCAAAAATGGAACTTTATTTAGGGACGGAGGGAGTATATAATATGAAGTACTTGTACCAATAACGTAAGCAATTTTTTTATGTATAGGGAATTAATGGGTTTCCACAATTCCAATCAAAGTTTTGTGTTCTTTACTTTACAAATTGAACCCCTTTGAAAGTAAAATTATCTTTAGCATTTACAATGGGAGGAAAAGACCCGCTGCGCTGCTCAGAGGACGGGGCCAACACCGGGCACCCATTGCAGGTCGAAGTTGCATCAGGCACTGGGTGGAAGTAATGCGGAGCTTGTTGCATCTGGTATCCATTGCAGGTCGGAAGTTATATATATATATATATATAATATGGAGCTAGTACTCCGATTAGCTTTCTTTTAACGTGTACCGTAAAAAGGAGGATGGCATTTGGAGGGTTAGTGAATACTTGAGTGACTACTTATGGACTTTTGAAATTTGAAGAAATGGATTGGGAGGTTTTGAATTTTAGCCATTAATGTTTAATACAGACATTGTGATACTAAAAAAGTATAATAATATACTCCGACACTCCGTATTATTTAAGTTTAAAAAGATTAGAAGAAAAGGGAATACAAGATTATCAGAACACTGAAACACTATCTAATTCCAGAAACAGAAAGATAAAAAAATTACCCAAAAGTGATATGATGGGCAACTTCAAGGGCTTGCCAATGTTCATCTGGGTTGAAATAAGTCTGCACCAGCAGAGAATTGAGCATCCGTGCAACCAAACAGAGAATGAACACTTCTCTTGGAGAAATGAGTAAAGATTTGATTTTTGACTCCCCTGTAGGGTTGGGTTTCCGAGTTTTTCTGCTCTCTGGTGGAGTAGCAGCGAGGGACTTTCTTTGTCTCATGCTGGAATGAGGTTTGGAGCTTCCTCTGAAGAAATGCATACAAATTCAAATGCCCCCAAACTGAATGAATAGGCAGCGAAGAGAGAGGTGCAAATTTCAGTGTATGGGATGAAATGATGAATAAGTCGGAGGGGGCAATTCGATGATTAGTCAATCACGTAGTGGGCGTCCGGCTGGGGGTCGAAATTGGGAGCCAAAAAATTCTGTGCCTACAGTCGGAGGTGTGCTAACCTTCACAGATGGGGGAAGAACCTTCCCTGAAAATCTTTACACAGTCAAGAAACCCCAAATTGATAAAATTTAATTTATGTGAGAATCGCGAAGACGGGGATGAGAATTAGACGTGGCTGGTCAATAGGTTCTGTTCGGTTTGGATTTTTCGGTTCGAGTCTCATTTGGATATATGTTATAATCGGTTCGAGTCGGTTCGGTTCGGGTCAGTTCGGTTCCGGGTTTATTTCGGTTTCGGTTTCGGTTCGGGTTTATATTGGTTCGGGTTTGTATCGGTTCGGGTTTGTATCGGTTCAAGTTTATATTGATTCGGGTTTGTATCAATTTAGGTTTATATTAGTTTAGATATATTTTAAATATTTACTAATAAATCAATAATATCACATAAAAAATTTAATCAATTTATGATATACTCCGTAGTTATTTTATTATTTAACACGGACGTACATAAAAAATAACACTTACATATAATTACCTAATTGTTTACATTCTAAAGTTTTCTCTCCTAAAGTTTTCGGCGCGATCTTTTTAGTTAACATTCTACTTCGTACTTCCTTTATTTCTAATTAACTATCCATTTCACTCTGTGTGTCAAATATTTGAATAATTATATATAAAAATATATAGTAAATTAAAATCTACAGAGTAAAAGTTATTACCAAATTGTGGGTATTAAAAAACACTTGAAATATATTATTTTTAATATTTTTGCTAATATTTTTGAAGAAACGATGTTGGTCAAACTTTAAGTTTGAAGGCGATAAAATACAAAAATACTTTAACTTAAGTTATAAAATACGGAGCAAAAGATTTGCACATGAAAGTAGTTCTACGGTTTTCACCCATAATTTAAATATGTTTTTTTAGAAACACATCAACATATGTAAAAGTATATATGTAATTCTTTTTCTCCAAGTTCATTTGATAAATGAAATATTAATGAATTTGATCAATTTCGGGTCTAATCGGTTCCGGGTTTAACCGGGTTCGGGTTTTATCGGTTCGGGTTAAATCAGATTCGGATCTGAATACATTCGGTTCGGTTTCGGTTTGGTTCGGGTCATTTCGGGTGTTCGGTTCTATTTCGGGTCTTCAGTTTTCGGGTCAAATCGGGTGCGGTTCCGGGTTATTCGGTTCAGGTCATCGGGTCCTGGTCAGTTTTGCCAGGTCTAATGAGAATTGCAGACTATGGGAAGAGGATAATAGAGTGCTAGACTATGCCAAAAATACTGAAATTCACTACTCAGCTCTCCAGGTTGCAACTTTGCATCCCGTAAATTTTAACCACTACGAGGGTGTTTAACAATTTAGTTTCTGTTTTGAGTGGAAGTGATTTTACTCTGTTTGGCATGTCAGCTTCTACTTTTCACCAACATTATTTTGTACATGGAACACCGTTTCGGAGAAACAGGTATGAGGTGCTTTTGCTTTCAGCTTTTGTAGAAATCACTTTATCCATAAGCTAATCACTCTCAAACACCCTCTACTTATCATTATTCACTAGTGTATATAAACTTTAATTCTTATCATAAAAATACATTTTTTGTCACCGGTTGTCCAATAGTCGGTTTCTAAGTCACCTTCAGATCATTTGGGGTCAAATTATAATTTTATAAATTTAAATTTTATGATTTTGACCGTTTTTTCTCTTGGTTCTCCACTCTTTTCTTCATCATCTTCAAGACCTCCATCTAGACAACCTAAACAGTGGTGTCAACAACACTAAAAGCTAGACAATAACTATAAAATATGAAATAGTATTAATATTAAACCATACCGCAAAAGGACATATTACAATAGTATTACAAAATCTTTCTTTTAGGCTTCATTGCTTGAAATTATTGCATGATATCGTCATCTTTGACATTATCAAAAGTTTCACTCTCTACATAAGTTAACATACAAGCAAGAAACCACTCATCCCCCATTCGATTGCGCAATTTATCTTTGACCAAATTCATTGCTGAAAACACGTGTTCCATGCTCGCCGTTGCAACTGGTAAGATCAAAGCCAATTTCACCAACAAATAAACCATGGGATAAACATTATGTTTTTGCTTCTCAACCATTTTTTGAGCAAGATCCCCAATTCCCTTCAAATTCGCAAAACTTTCATCACTTTTCACATCAAGAATAAAAGTTTCAAGAGAAGAGGATAAGAAAGAGAGATCGCAAAACTCATCGAATTCCATCGGATAAAATCTAGCAAACTCAACCAACTTCTCCATGTCAAATGCAGGAAATGAATTCCTTAGACTAAGGCAACTCAAGCACTCAATTAACTTTGTATTGACATTGTCAAAATGATCATCCAATTCAAGAAGTTGTTGGTCAATCACATTATCAAACAACTTCATCTTAAAATACTCCCAAAACTTGAAAGTGGATGCATTTCGCCTAGATCTTCCTCTTAGATGATAAAAGTCTCCTATATTTGGAATATGAATATCATGCTTCTTTAAAAACTCCATTGTCACATCAAGTATGTTGTCAAAACCAACATTCTTCAAGTTTCTCAAACTAACCTTCGCAATTCTCACTAGAGCAATTGCATTTGCAGGATCTTGCTCCTTTCTTTACAATGCCTGTGACAACTCATAAGTAACCCCCAAGACTTTCTCCATCAAATGCAAATTGAATATAAATTCAAAATCATCAATGAAATACAAAATGGCGGATGCTTCTGTTCTTACATCATCATTTTTAGGATCATCTTGAATGATATTCATCAAATAAATTATTGGAGGAAACAATGTGATTACACTCACAATTGTTCCATAGTGAGAGCCCCAACGCGTATCACCCGATCTTCTCAAAGTAGTTTCTTGATTTGAACCTTTCCCAACCAAATCACCACAAGCAATTCTTTCAAGTATCAATTCGTATTACTTTTCACAAAAATATCCCTTCTCTTACATGAGTCATTCACAACATTGGCCATTTTTTGAAGCATGTCAAAAAATTCTTGAAGTTTCTTATCACTTTTAGCAACCTTCACAAGTGCTAATTATAATTGATGAGCAAAGCAATAAATATAATATACAGACTTATTTTCAGCTAAAATCAAACTTTTAAGACCATTGAACTCACCTCTCATGTTGCTTGCTCCATCATATCTTTGACCACGACATTTTGATAAACTAAGGCCTAATCTAGCAAGGAGTTCATCAATTACAAATTTTAGTGATGCCGATGTAGTATCTGAAACATGGACAATTCCAACAAAATGCCCCACAATTTCCCCTTTCTTGTTTACATAGCGTATGACCACATCCATTTGCTCCTTCATTGATACATCACGAGCTTCATCGAAAAGCAAATAATAAAAATCATCTCCAATTTCACTCACTATCTCTTTTAATGTTAAATCTGCACAAGCAATTGCAAGATCTTTTTGAAATTTTGGAGAGGTCATTTTATTATTTTTGGGGGCATTATTCAGAACCACTTTCCACATTTCTTCATTTGGCATGGCATAAAAATTCAAAGTCTCGAGAAATAACCCTTTTCTATTTGAACTTTCCGACTCATCATGACCACGAAAAGGAAGACCATTTTTTAAAAGAAATCTTACACAACTCAAAGACGTCTTCAAACAGATGCAGTAATCTCTTCTTGCTTGGTCTGAAATATTCATAAGAGTAATGTCAATATTTTTTTCTCTAACGCATCAAATCTTGTCCAACTTGGAAACATTGATTATGAATACTACTATGTTCCCCCACATGATCTCTTAATCTACCTTTCTTGTTCTAATGGTTAAATCCTTTCCCAACAAAAGCATCACCCCCAAAGCAAGTTCTGCCAAATTCCATATTGAAAAGGTAGCAATACAAACAATAACAAGCATCTTTAGATTCACTTTACTCTAACCATCCCTTGAATTCCTCATACGAATCTCGATCAAATCTACGCATGCTACCATACTTGAATGTTTGAGGAAATCGTGTAAGCATAGGTTGTGTTGGACCCTTAAGTAAATACTTTCTCTGAATTTTATCTCTCTCAACATGATTCATTGTCAAAGAATTGATTGGAAGTCTTTTTCTTGGATCTGCTACAAGAATTGTCCTATCAACTTCATTAGGTATTTCTTGAGTTTGATGTTGGTTTTGAGCTTCTTCACTTGGTGATGTGGCTTGAGTATTTTCCATTGGAGCTTGTGATTGAACTTCAAGTGCAGGTTGGGTCTCTTGTTCTCGTACATGTGTGGGTTTTAATTTTTTATAGTAAGATTATAAACCTATCATCACAAAAACAAAAAGTATTACTCCGTATTATATACTCCCTCTGTCTCTCTAAGATCTTCTCATTTTGACTTTTTGTGGTTTTTAAGGAGAGTTGAAAAAAGATGAAAGTTTACCATAATATCCTTAATAAAAAATGGGTGGAGTGTATTAAATGAGGTAGGTGAGGTGTAATAAATAAAGTAATTGGGGGTAGTTGTGGTATTTTAATTGTTAAAAAAGGTAATAAGAAGATTTATGATGACAAATAAAAAGGAATAATGAGAAGATATATGGGGGACATAGGGAGTATTATCTAAAATTGCACTTCATACACACTATGTTCTCTAAGTCTCTGTACTATATTAAAATAAAAATTACTCCGTAATATTTATAAACCTTATATGATACCTTTCATTCTCAATTGAAGACACAATAACACCTACATAATTGGAAAAAAATTAAGGCAGTCAATGATCAAAAAATACAATAGACCACTCTACTCATTGGGCAGTCAATTCATAAGCAATCAAAAAATACATACAATACATAGCTCTAAACTAAAAATAAGCAAAAAGAATTTTGTTAGACAAGGCTTGCAACTCTAGAGGGGGCTGAATAGAGTTGTTGAGAATGATTACTGATTTTCGCATGATTAATAATATAAATGTAAGTGCAGCAGAAATAAAAGAGAGAAGGCAAAGAACACAACGATGTATACTGGTTCACCACCTCGTGGCTAGTCTAGTTCCCCGAGAGACTCTCTCGAAACTACCACTACTTCCGTTAAGCTTACGGGTGCTTAACAAACCATTTACAACTCGAGAACTTGAATCCCACAAGCCTTGACACAACCACTCGTAGATATGCCCTCTACAAAACTTTACACCCAAGACTTAAGTCACATAAGTCTTGTACACCAAGAAGAACACTCTTCTTTAACCTCTCAACAATAGCTCTCAAAAGAGTAGGAATGAGAAAATGTTTAGCTCTATGGATGACAAGAAACCTCTCTTGAAAATAAATATAATTTTCTCTCAAAATAATATAAATTTGAGGAAAGAATGATGGAAGATTAACACCTCAAGAATGAGGAGTATTGGAGTGTTTCTTGTTGTTAAAAATGACCAAGGAAGGGTGTTTAAATAGGAGGTGAAGAAATATATCCGCTGGTCCAAGAAAAGAAGTTGTGATGAAAAATGCAGCATAATAATCAATTAATGCATCGTCATAATCGATTAGTGTATCATCATAATCAATTAATGCAACTGAAAAAAATCAATTAAATTCGCCTGAACAAAATTCCTTCTGAGCGGAAAAGTGATAATCGATTAGTTCATTCTGGACGGAAAACCTTCTACGGATATAACAGATAATCGATTAATCCCATAGGTAATAATTGATTATTGCAACAATAATGCCCAAACTTGAAGAACACAAGCATGTGGGCGAGTTGGAAGGATATTTTGGCATTAAGGCCTTGTTTGGGACAAAGGAATAAGGGGAGAAGGCTCCCATAATCAAACAAGGATAATTCAAAAACAATTTTGAATTATGAGAAGAATATTTGGTGTAGAAAATGAGTCCCAAAAATATATTTTGTGTGTCAAACGATGTATACGAAAAATATTTGAATAAACTATTTTTGCTTACCAAAAATATTTTATAATATCAAAATAAACACTTGATAAATGTTTGACACACCTTTTGTAACTGACTCAATAAAACTATTTTGAACAATCAAAAAGATTTTTCAACTAACTCCAAAAATAAATATAATTTTTATTTTAACTCTCATAAAAATAATTTTGGAGAGAAGATATTTTTGTCATCCTTACAATTATTCCTACGACTCAAATAAATAAAAAGTCTTCGGAAATCTTTTACTCCTCCGAGTCCTCCGTTGGGCGCTCCGAACGCGTCTCAGACTCCAATAAAATCATGTGCACCTTCTTGAATACTTCAAGGAATGACACTTCAAGTCTTCGTGTGTGTCGTTGTAGCACTTTGATCTTAACTTGAAGAAAGTGTGTTTGTCGATTATCAAAACCTGTGAGTCAACACTTAACAACACAAAAAGGGTTGAACTCATGCATTCCAACAAATTTCACTTTACAAAAAAAAACATAAATATAAACTAGTCATTGAGGGAGTCAACTCATAGCTCAATAGATAGCTCTAAACTAATGAGGCAGTCAATTCATAGGCAATTAAAAAATACAATAGATATGCCCATGTCAAAATTTCACTTTACAAAAAATAATAATTTTCAAGCAATCCAAAAAACTTGCAAAAGATCCTAACTCCAAATAATTTCACTTTACAAAAAAAATAATTTTGAAGCAATCCAAAAAACCAGCAAAATATCAGAACTTTAAATAATTTCACTTTACAAAAAAATAATTTCGAAGCAATCCAAAAAAGTAGCAAAAGATTCGAACTCCATATAATTTGACTTTACAAAAAATAATAAATTTGAAGCACTCCAAAAAAACCAGCAAAAGATCCGAACTCCAATTAATATCACTTTACAAAAAATAATAATTTTGATGCAATCCAAAAGATCGGAACTCCAAATAACATGTAGAAGATTCGAAGAGGCACTGTGGAGTTAGCGGCTGAGATCGGCGATGGACCGCAAGGATTCGCAAGAGGGCAGGAGAGTTGGGAGAGCCGGCTGGATGCCTTGATCGGAAGGAGAGTGGGAGAGCCGGCGAGGAAGAGGATGGCTTATACGGACATCCAAAACGTCATTTTGATTAAATTTGTTTAAAAATCCAGCGGTGTCACTTGACACCCCCAAACCCCTGCTGCGTCCGCCACTGCCCCAACCCCCACTATTTTTTCTCTTCTTCCCCTCTTCTTCTAGCCCCCCACCCCCGTTTTTTTCTTTCTTCTTTTCTTCTTCTCCCCTTTTTTACTTTCGATCTAGCCCACCCTCCCCTTTTTTCCTTCTTTTATTATTATTGATATTGTAATTATTATTATTATTATTACTATTATTATTATTATTATTATTATTATTATTATTATTATTATTATTATTATTATTATTATTATTATTCGTTCTGTCTCCGGGAAGAACCTTCTCTTTCCCCTTCATCAGTGTGAGCAAGTTCATGGATTCTTCTACTTCCAAGGGTTTCCAGCTCATCCAGACCAGATTCCCGGCCGCCCTCAAAACCTCCTCGTCATTCTTCGGTGGAAACTTAGCCGACGTCGATCTTTTCATGATCATAATTAATATAACTTGTAAAAATAAAATAAAAAAGTTCAACTCTCTTGTTTGTATATATATGGTTATAATTTTCAGAACTGGAACTTCACCGTTTATTCAAATTTGGAGTAATTAAAGAGGATTTATGTTAAAAAGAGAATTTTAAAAACAAATTACAATTGGAATAGAATTGGAATGTTTGAAGATTATTGGAAGTGTAGAACTGCTAAGACAGTACTACCAAAAAAATAAATTAGATATTCCGTAGAAAAGAAAAATAAAAATTTCTAAAAACGAACTTCTCGTAATATTGTAATATATTTGATTGGAAACATTAAGAAAGAAATAAAAAGAATTACGTAATTGGAAACAATTCCAACCTCTGTCCAATACTCCCATGTAAGGTTAGAACTTATTTCTAATTCAGCATATTTAGAAATTACGTAGTAGTATACAAATAAAAATTAAAAATATATGTTCAAAATTTATATTGAGAATTTATAAAAAAAGACGACTTTAATATACTATTTTATTAACGGAATAAATTGAATAAAGTTTAATCATGTCAACAATAAACATCACTGTGTAAAGTAATAATAATCAGTTTAATTCAAAAAAGGAGAGGGGTGGGCTTTGACTGAGTCAAAGAAGCTTTAATAATAATAATAATAATAATAATAATAATTATTATAATAATAATAATAATTACAATATCAATAATAATAAAAGAAGGAAAAAAGGGGAGGGGTGGGGTGGGCTGGATCGAAAGAAAAAAAGGGGAGAAGAAGAAAAGAAGAAAGAAATAAACGGGGGTGGGGGGCTAGACGAAGAGGGGAAGAAGAGAAAAAAATGGTGCGGGTGGGTTGGAGGTGGGGCTGGAAGAGGACGATAAGAAAAAAATGGAGGGGGATGGTGGGAGGTCTTGAAGAAGATGAAGAAAAAGGTGGAGAACCAAGAGAAAAATATAAAAGGGGTCAAAATCATAAAATTTAAATTTATAAAATTGTAATTTGACCCAAATGACCTAAAGGTGACTTAGAAACCACCTATTGGACCACCGGTGAAAGAATGTTGAAAAGTCGTGTATTTTTGTGATAAGAATTAAAGTTTATATACCGAAGTGAAATAATGGTGAAAGTTCATATACCATGGGTGAAATTTACACATGCTCTATTAGAGTAACTCCGATAGAAAAGAGGAAATTTCGTGTATGGTACACCAACTTTGACCTTTATTTCACTTCGGTATACAAACTTTAATTTTTATCAGAAAAGTACTCCAACTTACCCGTTTCTTTCACCGATGGTATTTTAGCCGATTTCCAGGTACTCAGCTGGTTACCAATCCTACGTGAATCCCTACTCGGAGGACCCATTTAAATCACTCCCTTCTTCTCTCTCCTTTGTCCTCTGACGTATCATCATCCGACAAAGGCATTAAAGTAGGAAGAAAATTAACTGTTGGGTTGGAGAGACTCCCTTCTTCTACATATATAGCACTCTTTCTTCCATCCTCTTGTTCCAATTAGAAACCCTAATTTTGAGAGAGATTTTTCAAATTTGATGTCTACCCTCTCTAACAACAGCTCCTACCGTTGCGCATTAGTGCACTACTGCAGATGCCGTGAACCTGTAGTGTGGAAGACCTCAGGGACTGATTCAAATCCTAGAAGGCGGTTCGTTGGGTGTCCTAATTATGTGGTAAGTGTTCTGAAATATCAAAACTTTTCAATGGATGGTCGTTGCGATTGGGATTTTGGTTGAAAAGGGTTTTTTGTTTAGGTGGACTCGCAAATTTTGTTAGTTCATGGAATGGAGAGATCCGGAAGTTCATCCACGATATCGGGATGTCATTCCTCGCTTAATGAGGAAGGGTGAGAATATAAGAGAAGAGAAGACGAAGGAGAAGAGTTTATGTGGACGTCACACCTGTTGGATTTGTCTATTCTTGGTAGTGTTGATTTCTTTTTTCTTATTGTTTTGGAATTGTAAGGGTTGTGTATGCCAAGAGTGTTAGAGTAGTGGCTGATGATTTATTTAGTCTGGTGAAATGTTATTGTGTAGTGGATTGTAGAATAATTATTGTTCAGGAGTGATTGTAGACTGATTTTTGTTCAAGAGTGGTTTTTTAAATGGCAGCAAGTTCTCTCATGTTGTTTTATTTTAAAGGGTAAATATCACGTATGGTACGCCAACTTTGGGTGTACCATACGTGATATCGGTAGTAGTGACACGATAATTAGGACACGCCAACTTTATCTCAAACATTGGCAGTAGTGACTTGTGTCTAGCATCCAAAATGTACTTGTTAAAAGACTCACAGGTTGTTTGTTACATTTCACAAATGTTTTAAACTTTGCCCCGGTCTAATTCTTCGTTGGTCTTTTGTTAAGCCACTATCTAGCCTTTGGAAACCTTTCCTCAAGCTTCCTTAGACAATCCCAAAGCAAGTCCTTTAACTCCGTACCTCTAAAATGATCCCTGTAATTGGTGTTAAGGCATCTGGCACACAATCTAAGTTCAGCTTTGGGAAAAAGTCTATGAATCACTATAACAAATCCCTGCAAAAATAGAGCGCACGTTATGATTATAATGGTATAGAGCAAAGTACATAAAGCGGAGAGTAAAGGAGTTCATACCTTCTGTTTGTCACTCATGAAGCAAAAAATACTTTCACTATCAATGTCCAAGTCACCAGCAAGGAGCCTCAAGAACCACTCCCATGTCTCAGTATTCTCTATCCTACACACTGCATAGGCTATGGGAAAAATGCAATCCTTAGGATCAATGCCAACTACAGCCAACAATTGCCCACCATAAGTGCTCTTAAGAAAACATACATCTAAGCACACAAGTGGGCTCCAAGCATATGTAAATTCCCTAAAAAACACTCATGTCCCTCTTAAACATTATTGTTGACCCAGGATTGGTTCTCAAAAGTTCCATTCTGTAGTCAGACAACTTTTGGAAGTGACTGCTTTCATCCCCATGTATTAATTTTAGAGCTTTACTCTTTGCTCTCCAAGCCTTAAGGTAGTTGATGTTGTAATGAAAGTCAGCAACCAATCTTGCAATTAGGTGTTTCAATTCCCATTTTAGTTAACTCTAAAGTTCTCCAAGTACTTGTTAGCTATCCACTCAGCAATGCAATAATAATTCTCATGAACTTTCTTGTACTTGTGCTCAAAACAGCCACTCTTAATCTGAAAAGTAGGGTCGTGTGGATCCTTGCTACGAAATTTAGAAGCGAATATTCTAAAGCCACAACCATTAGAACACTTGCCAAAACCTTAATTTTGCAGTTTGTTGGTAATATGATCTGCCATCTATACCTAACTCCAAACTCCCTCACTGCCATTTTAAACTCATCCAAATTTTTAAACAACATTGCCACCTTGAATTTGCCTTTACTCATGTCCAGTTTTGCATCAAATGAAGGATATCTCTCTCCACCTCCATTTCCACTGTCAGATTCTGTGTGTAATTCATCTGAATTAACATAGTCTGATGAATCACTCCCTACCACAACATCTAAATTTCTTACATGCCTACTTTGGTCAGGATTCTAATTTGGTCTTTTATTTCATTTATGCCCTTATTTGAATGCATTAAACTCTTCTGCATTCTCAGTATAATTCTCATCACCAATCTCCACCATGTAGTCATCATCATATAAATCATCATCTACATGTTCACCTTCAGCATGCACATGTTGAGCCCTTATCTTAGAACCTCATTCATCAACAACATCTTCACTCTCAGCCTCTGAACCCCCTTCATCATCAGCATCCTCAACAGCATCTTCACTCTCAGCCTCCGAACCCCCTTCATCATCAGCATCCTCAACTTCTGGTTGTGAACCCCAATCCCCTATTTCAGCTGGTTACCCACCCATTTGCCCATCTCCGTTAGTGTTGTTGACAGTTTCAGGAGCCATATTCCAGTCATCATAAAAAAAGTCCCAGTTCTCATTTAAACACCAGTTTGCCATATCATCCATATTGATATTCATTGACAAACTCTGCCACCCATTATCAGAAGTAAAGCCCCAATTTTCATTCACTCTTCCATCTTCAATCACTGGTGGTTCACTCTTGTCCTCTTGTTGTAAATCAACAGGTGATGGTTCATCCCCAATCACTGATGGTTCACCTTTTTCTTCCTCATGTACAATCCCCTCGAATTTTGCTTGGTAAATGGCCAACACCCTTTCTCAATGAACTACCACCTTCCTTTTTTAGGTTTCAATGGATTGTTAACAGGGGAGTTTCATCCTCAAGCTTCTCGATAACAACACCAGGTTTTGGTTTTGTAGGGGTATTAAGTTCATTCACTATCTTTAAGATTTTAGCTTCACCTACGCTCAACATACAGATGAATGGAACCATACTCACAGCTACACCTTGACATTTTCCAGGTATCATCAGCAAATTGAAGGGGTTTCAAACCGTTGTGATAAGGGGTTTTATGATCCCTCTAATAATACCTAACCAGTCCATTAATTCCATTTTTGCCAACAATTTATCAAGATACTTCATACACATTCTATCAACATCCACTGTCAATAAAAATTTCTTTCCATCGTAGTATCTAAATTCCCCCATAACCCCATCATGGTGCACAATAATATCATAAACCAATATGTGTTGACTCTCTTGACCGTGTGAACTCTCAGAAGTCTTTGAACTCTCAGAATTTATGCAATACAAAAAACACCAATAATGAAATCCCAAAAAAATTCTCAAAAGTGCACATTGTAACATAAAACCCTACCCATGGATGATGATGAGTAACTAAACCCCTTTAGAATAAGACATGCACTAACCTGATATGGGTGGAGCTTCCTTTCTTCTTTGTGAATGCCACACAAGATCAGCAAGAGCGTCCTCTTCGTTTTGAATGAAATAGAAATTGAAAGAGCAAAGTATTTGAAACACACCTCCCTCTGTTTTGAAACAGAAATACCTAGCCACCACCGTCTCGAGAAATGAGAAAAAAAGATGACCTTTCCCCTTTCCCTTGTTCTCGCTATTTCTTCTATTTGTAAGCCCAATGAAGAGGCTCGAACATATCAATGGGGATGATGATGCGTCAGAGGAGAGAGGAGAGAGAAGGAGTGATTTAAATGGGTGCACCGAGTAGGCATCCACGTAGGATTGGTAACCGGCTGAGTACTTGGAAACCGGCTAAAATACCGTCGGTGAAAGAAACTGGTAAGTTGGAGTACTTTTCTGATAGAAAATAAAGTTTGTATATTGAAGTGAAATAAACGTCAAAGTTGGTGTACCATACGTGAAATTTACCCCAATAGAAAAAGGTTAATTGAGAAACTATTTTGCAAGATATACTAATGAAAAAGGTTATGAGTGTGAGAGAGCATGGATAGCCTCCCATCAAGTTACTGTCATGTGGACTAATCAGGTAAATGACTCTACATCATTATAATTTTTTGAGATTCCAAAAAAGACCCCATCTGGCTTGTTACCTCCTATTTGCATTAGTTCTTCCCTTTCTTTTCGTTTTTCCACCGGTCAGTCCACCGGAAATTGGAAAATTGGAGATCCCTTTCGACCGCCTCATGCACTGAACCAGTTCAAACTGGCGTGAATCGGTAAGAACCGACCGCTCAACCATTAAAACTAGTTTTTTTTGTGAAAATTGGCCAAAAACTTTACTCCCTATGATTTGAACAATTGACCTCTTATACATGATACAAGGTACCCACCAACTATCAAGAGTAAATATTCATTACATATTTGTTTCAAGTAATATATCCACCTTATACTTAAAAGAATTATATATATACATACATATATATATATATATATATATATATATATATATATATATATATATTAAAGAAAGGATTTTTATTAAATAATTCGGAAGTTGGTACAAGAAATGTCACAAGTGATGGCTCCCTTTACATTTTTAGGGAGAGAGTAAAAGTTATTGAAAGTTTTAAATGAGTTGGATCGGATGGCATGTTGTGCGAGATTGTGGGCCGCTTCGTTCTCTTCCCGATAAACATGTTTGATTGAAACATTATGGGCTTCAAGTAGCGTTCTGAGAGTTGAAAATACTCCTGCTCTTTGGAGATTTCTTGCTTCTTTGACTGTCGATTGGGAGTCCATTCTGAGATGAATTGGCCCATTGGTAAATTGAGTCGCCCATTTAATGCCCATTATTGCTGCTTCTCCTTGAAGAGAGTTAGTTGCTCTTACGGTTGAGGTAATGGCTGCTATGAATTATCCTGTTTTTGTGCGCAGAATTGCTCCCCCCGCACTTTGCTCCCCTCTTGTTGCCAAGTCTGTTGTTAGAATCACTCCTTCTATTTCTCCCTTCCATTTTAGGATCTTGATTGCTGGAGTGTGGAAACCCGGTAGTTCTAGATTGTCGAAATGCAAACTCTTTTTGTTCTTAACTGCTACCCATTCAATGAGTGACTTTTAAATGATTTGGATGATTTGATATTCTGATTTATGCTCCTCATTGTGATTTCTTCGGTTTCTTTCTTTCCAGATTTCATTGGCTATTATTCCTGGAAGAACGATTTTTGCTGCTCTATTTGGGTTTGCAGGCCCTGTCTGTTGCCACCATGCCATTAGGTAAGCTCGTATCCCATGTGTAGTTGATCTTGTGAAATGGAATAGAGATTCAAAATGTGTCCAAATGGCTTTGCTGTAATGACAATCCTTGAG